GTTTTATGAAACTTATGACTTGCAGGCTACTGTGCCTAAATATCATAGAAACAAAAAGTGTGATATATATTATACAATATTTTTCTAATGTAGTTCTTTCACTGGCAGATTCTTTCAAGTTATCTGGTGAAAATAATTCAATGTCCAGTTGACATCATGATAATAAATTACTTTATTTCATCCTTTAATGTTTCTACAAACTTTACCACTATTGTAACTTGCTGTAGATTTATGTTACAAATGACTAACATAAAACAAATAAACTTACCTGTACAAAGTAACAGCGATAGCTAACATACTGACTGATTTGCTCTATCATGAAAATGAACTACTATCTTCTTGAAATAACTCGGTATCTAACTAGCCTAATATTTCACTGAACTTCATAGTTATAATCTACATTCAAATATACCAGAAAAACTTGATATCACATTCTTTTCACTTTCTGGGAGTTCTATACCCTCTAGTTAACAAAGAGTTACAACATTACAAATAATGCTTACAACAATATATATATATATATATGTATAGAAAGAGAGAGGGAGAGAGAGAAAATGTTTAGTCTTAAACTATTATGCTTAAAGCAAGCTCAGTTGGAAGTACTTTTTCAAAACTAAGCATACCTTTATAGTTGTAGTAAAAACAAATTAATCAATTTAGTCTGTTACCAAATGTCAAATTATATTGTATTTTCTAATCAAAATAGAGTGCTTAAGCAGTTTTACACTATTTCAAGTTTAATTGCCAATCAGTTTTTGTATTTTTCAGGCCCATTTCCTCACATAACCAACAATTTACGAATACTTTGATTATTTCAGACTTTGTAGTGGTAAAAACAATACCTAATTAACTTTCAGAGCAACTTATGTTCTGTTCATGCAGAACAATAAATCAAATAGAAGAATACCTATATAATTGAAACTAACTATGGTTCTACTGCTTTGAATTATCTTTTGTGAAGAGCTGGCCTTGTGTTTAGCATTTTTGAATGTGAATCATAAGTTATATGGTTCACTTCTCATTGTTGCACACTTTAGGGCTGTAGGCCATTGATGCAATGTGAATCATAAGTTATATGGTTCACTTCTCATTGTTGCACACTTTAGGGCTGTAGGCCATTGATGCAATGTGAATCATAAGTTATATGGTTCACTTCTCATTGTTGCACACTTTAGGGCTGTAGGCCATTGATGCACTATAACAGTGTTGGTCAAACTCCACTATCTAAATAGAGTAACTCAAGAGTTGGCAGTAGATGCTGCTAACTAACCACCTTCTCTTTTGTCTATAAGTTCAAATATAGGAATGACTAGTGCAAAAAGCCCTTGTACAAATATCAGAAACAAAACAAACCAAAATAAATAATTTGGATAAGGTATGTTACCTCCTCTTCACATAAATAATCTTTCTCGTTCAGTGCTGCCCTTTATTTGCAAAAAAAGTTTGGGCATGCCACAAGCCTTGAATCTCCCACATTTGGAATTGACTGATTCCAATGCGTCAAATCATCATGCGACAAACTTCTACCAATAAGAGTGCGACATACTCTCTTGATGCATGTTACACCCTCTATTCAATTATACTGAACTGCCACTTCTTGTTTGGCAATACTTGTGTTCTAACATTTAGTTTGTGCTCTCTTCAAGTGTTTTATTATAATTTTTTCTGTATCTTTTGTATCAATTTCTCTTTATTATACAGTAGTGATATTTTTAACTTGTTGAGTTATTCTGAAGTGGAATTATTTTGTATTTCCCCCTGGTTATGGAACTTATTATTTCATTACAAAAACTTTTTCTTTGTTTCTACCAACACAATTGTGTTTCGTTATTCATTTTGCATTATGAATTCTACTTTACCACTTCAGAGGTTATATGTTCTATTCACACATTTATATTGGCTTCAGGTTGTGGACTCCGAAAAAAGATTTTTCAGCTTTATTTTATCGGGAGATTGATCGTCCAAGAAAATGATATTCGTCAGGCTTCACCAAGAGTTTTGGGGCCCACACATTTTGACATAAAGTCTGTTGACTTTGGAAAGATAAGACATTATATTGTTATGGTTTTTTGAATACTTTTAATATTATTATCTGTAATTATTTGAGCTTTCTAATATAAGTTTCATTAGTTTAGTTGATACTTATAGTCCAGTTCAGGTTAGAAATTAGGCTTAGTTATATCCTTTCTCCTATACCACTGATACTAGGGGTCTTTATTATTTTATGATTATATGTGATTCATCTGACTGCGATGTCAATCATTCATTTAACTAGATTATTTTTCTTCCATACATCACATTTTATACATAGGTTATTGTTGGTACACACTTATTTCATTTTATAACTTCCCATTTCTTTCATTTTCGATATTATACTTGTTCGATTAGGCATTACACTTGTCTGTTATTTTTGGTTTACTTCTAGTTTTATTTGAGGATTATTGCTAGTTACATTAAATATCATGTCAGCTTAGGCCTAACAAGTGTCTGTTAATTTCTTACTATTCATTTCGTTTAATTTCTGCATTATCCTTCTTTTCGTTTGTGTGGGCCCCTGTGGGCTGGGGTCCACCCTACTTGCTCCTAATGTTACTCCCCATCCTCCAATTATGGCTGAACCCATTTCAGACAGCCCACATTTTTAGCTTTTCTCCAAGTTGCCATGAATTACATTCAGTGCCTGTACTGCAGAATCTGCTTGGCCTGTATAAATTTTTTTCTTTGTTGTTGTTATTGTTTTAGACACATTTCACAGTATATTCCCTTCTCCTGACACTGTTTCTTTATGATCCTTTCTTAAGTGTTCCACCTATATTTAGGGATTTTCGTAGGATACCTCCTCCTTCTTCCCTCCATGTTGTGGGGGTTTGCCATCTTCTGTTCTTTCTTTCCACACGAGGCTTCTTTCCTTTTGGGAACTTCTTGGGTGGGACACAGCTGTTTGTTTCCTGTCTACTGCTAATGGGAACTTATGATCAGATTTTTTTCTCCACCAGTCCATTTTTTTTGGAGACTCCTCCTGTACATTTACTGTCACATGGGGTATCTGCCATGCTATATTTAATTTTTTTTGTTTCATTCCGAGATATTGTCATCTTTATTCTTTTACATGTCCAGCAATTTTCCATTTTTAACCTGTCCTTTCTATGGGTTTCTCCATTCGTCTTGTATGCTCTATGCTGTTTGGAGCTCTGAATCGATCGGTCCCACCTCAATCACTTCTTGGGTCATATTCATTTTCATATGTAGCCTTTGATCATATTTAGGTTTGCTATTTATGCATGTTGGGGTATACCCACATTACCAATTCTTATCTTCCATTTTTTGGGATGCTATTTGAGGTTATTTCATGATTCGGCCCAGTTTCATACCTTGCTCTTTGGACTTATCTGGTACCATATGTCTTTTGTGGGGTGATATGCATTTTACCTGACTCCCACTTTTGGGGGTGATTTTACCTACATTATTCCTTGGATGTATAGCTTTGGTTAGCTACTTCCAAATTGGAGTAATCTTCACATACTCGTATGCTGTATGCTCCTTCAACAGTCAGCTAGGGTTGTTGGATTTTCCAATTGGATATGTTTTTTCTGTTCCACACTATACATTTTCGTAACTTTGGGGTGGGTAATTTTACACACTCCTCTATTGGGACCATTCATTGATTTTCCTCTTCTTCTATACAAGTTGATAGATTTGCATATCACCTACGATGTCGGGTTTCCCACTTCTTCCCCTCTTCTGGATTGTTTCTCTTCACTGATGCTCATCTCCATTGGTTGGGGATGTGGTTCAATCTGTAGGAGGCTTCAGGACTATGGTCTCCAGGTGAATGGTCTTATTCCTTTCACACCCTGACACTTCATCCAGTCCAGTGTACTTTTGTTCACTCTTTCATTGGTGCTTCCATTTTCTGCCAAAACTCGAAGTGATAGCTTAGTAGAATTGAATAGAGGGAGTCACATTTATCAAGAGAGTATGTTGCACTCTTATTGGTGGAGGGTTGTCACATGATGATTTGCATGCGAGACACATTGGAATCAGTCAATTCCAGATGTGGGAGATTCAAGGCTTGTGGCATGCACCAAAAACGTTTTTTGCATATAGAGGGCAGCACTGAACAAGAATAGCTTTTTTTTATGTGAGAGGAGGTAAGTATCTATTGGAAATCCATTTTCAGTATAGGAAAATTATAACTTTTAAGGCGATATTGTGTTTACACATTTGTGTTTCTTTGCATATGACTGACTCCAACAATATTGAAAAGATAATTTTATACATTTTGTAGCATTGGGGAACACTTTTTTTTTACATGTATATATATATATATATATATTCCTTGCACAATGCTTCCCATCCACTTTTACCATAATATACACTTGGGCTTTCCACACATAAAGTATATGTGTTTACAACCACCTTATTTCAGAGTTTTATTATTAAAAACATCTGAAAACTCTTAAAATTCAAGTTAGTCAACACTGCATTTAATATCTTAGATACTGCCAAGTTAATCAGTACCTTTTAATCTTAATTTTCATGTGAAATTTAACTGAACACAAATTAAAATTCTTGTGCACATTCCAAAGTTGATTATAATGTGCTATTGCCAGAAATGTTGTAATGTTTTGTAACAGACAAGTATAGCTATTAAAAAGAAAGGACTTAAGTTTATTAACAGAAGTAGTGTTTGATTTGAAATGTAAACTCACTACTTATCTTAAATAATTTATAACTGTGTTATTTCATTGGTCTAATACTGTTGTTTCAAAATATGTTAAATGAACTTGCATAAATTTTTGTATGCTTTCAAGATGTGCTCTAAAGTGTCAATATTGGTGTATTTTGGACTTTTTAGTCGTTGCTTGAGGTACTGCTGACCAGTATAGAATGAACCATTTTAAAATATCATTCACTGAATGTTCTTTATAAAATTGATAGAATTGTCTTTTACTTTCTGATGTCAAAACAAAGTGGATAATTTATGAAATTGTTTACAGTTTTGTGCAAGCATGTAAAAGTATGGAGAAAGAAGTTTCACTGAAATTAGACCAGTATGTAGTTTGTGATAACATTGATATTGAACTGATACTTCAAGAGTATGAAACATTCCAATTTATCAAGTTCCGAAAACATCCTCGTATAGTGAAAAAGATTGAGTCTGGTACGTATATGTAAGAAATGAACAATTGTGTTATTATTTGTCTGTTATTATGTACATGTATATTTTTAAATCTACCTATTTAACTATTTACACCAAACATAAATTAATTTTTTCTCAGTTAGTAACAAATACATATGTATATGTTTTTCTAATTAAAGGGTTTGATTTTGCTACTTGAGTTAACATGTATAACAACTGAACACACTGAAAAGTAATTTAGTCAAAAGAGAATAAGGTCTGCTTTTGTTATACATGCTCTGCATTGTACGTAGTTTTGCTACCTGACTGAAACTATAGTAAAAATAGTTTTTTTCTTCTCCAATAAAAATATTGAAAGTATTTCTGTGTTTATTTTTTGTTATTATTATTATTACTATTCAAGTGAAATTCCTTTACAATGTGTCAGTGAATTTGGATAATGCTTCAAAACCACATGTAAGTTGGGAATACTGTGTGAAATATGTGAAACTAATATTTGAATTATTTTCATTACTGCTTTCCACATATTGATCTTCTCTTGCACCCTACTTATTTCCATGTTTTTCCAGTTGAGTTCAATTTCTTTTAACTAGTTTTAGGTTTTCTTGCTTTTGATTTTATATAACTGTTTCAGACCATATTACTCACCCCTACACTTGACAATCAGCAACTTGGCACTACTGTCCAAATGTTTTTTTGCTAATGCACAAAGCTGTTAAAAGAGCTCACATCTTTCTGCATAATAACATGTATTACATTAGTCTATGATGCAATCAACATTAAACTTTACTCCTCCACCAATAGTAGGGTGACACAACCTCCTTGTGCAGTACTTCCTTTTAGCACTTTTCATAAACAAAAAGCCCATTTTTTTCCCTTGGCACTAAACTGTTCAAACATGTTATTTTTCTTAATCCTTTTATCAAACAAAGAATCTTTTGTACTGATCCTATCTGTTGAATTAAAAATATTTTCAGTTAAAGCTTCTAATAAGAATTGTTATCCTGTTCAGAACTATTTTAATCTTTCCAGTTCTTCTTGGCTGTAACATGTGTTCAGTTCTCTGTTTGGACCTTTGGCCACCTGTTCCCAGTATCATATTTCTCTGAAGACAAATTTTCTTCTCTTTCCATCTTGTGGGAGATCTTGCTTTAATATATTTCTTTAGACACTTCCAACAATCTTTTTCACAGGGACAGGCTGATTTTATTCCAGACCATTCATTCATTACCAAAACTTGGGCTGCTTGGGTGGGTGACCTGATGTTTTTTCCCTTGAATTTGTTTTCTGTGTGATCATCTCTTTTGTTCTTTGCAGACAGTGTAATGTTACGTTGCTAGACCGTATTTTATTCCATTGCTCACACTACTCCTTTTAGAGGCATTAAAAATCATATTTTCCTGCCAGGGGATCCCTCTAGTTTTCAATATTTATCTCCTTCTTCTTTCATTGGATGGGTAAAGCAACTAATGTGGTTTCACTATTCCTCCATGGGAGATGTCACTTTTCATCATTTTAATGCCACCTCTCATGAAATTTATCTTCTCACAGCTTTTATTGCAATCGTCATCCCCTTAACATCTTGTGGATGGGGATCTGGATAACTCCAAGCACCTTCGCTATATTACTTTCATCACTTTGCAATCTTGTCAATCTCTTAATTTTGTCTCCATCAATTTGCTAATCACTAATATTCCCAGACTAAGGAGATGTGTTGTTAGTAATTTTTTATTATTACATCTATGATTTTACCTTTTAAATGGAAAAAAAAAGGTGAAGAAACCCTCAGTATATAGATATATATTTAGCTTCCAAGGTATGCCATATGAATAAAAAAAGAGAGTGACTAAGCTACCATGTAACTATCCATGGTAACCCATAGTATAATCTCTCAGTTAGAGATTTTATGCACATGAGATGATTCCTGTTTGGTCCACACAGTCCTTTTCAGTGCTCTTCCTTATGAAAATTTCTCCTCTACTACTTGAGCAGGAGAACTTTTACTTCTGCAGTATCTAGTTGCTGTGAGAGGATCAATATAGAGAATTTGACTTCATACTGGTGTAATTTCGCTGGTAAATGCTCCACTTGATTGGAATTAAGGTAGGATTGTCAAACTGTAAAAGTACTACAGGCCAGCCAACACTAAGAACGAGACCGTCGTGTTGGTTGAGGCCAACTGATTTTTGATTTCTTCTCTCAGTGATTCATCCCTGAACCTGCATATTCTTGTAAATGTTTCCGTTAAGTATTTCTTTCATGCTGTATAACTTGACATATTGCCATAACTGCACTTACTTTCTATAATCTGTCAACCTCTTGTAATATATTTATAATGCAACTCAGCAGCCTTCATATTCCACCTTTGTAGTATTTAACAAAAAGTAGAAAGTGTATGATAGACTTATATTAGGCAAAGAATATTCCCTATTTGAAATGGATGCAGTCTCTCTCTCTGAATACTGCTACCACCAGCCCTCCCTAGTGATAGACATACTCTAAGAACTTTCTGTTGCTGTAGGCTCAGAAATGAGTTTATTGTTTTCATTTCTTTCTTTACACCAGTCCATCCACCATTTTTTCAGTTTAAGATTCTGTGGAGAGGCGAGTAGCTTGGTTTAAAATAAACATTTTCCTTACCTGAGGATGTGTTTCAAATAGATATTAACCTCTCCACAGAACCACCTAACCTACCTCTCCACTTCAGCTGTTTCTATTTGCCTCATCAAGAAGGAGTTTTTGGTTTGCACAAATATCTCAAGGGTAGTACTTTACAAGGAGGATGTTTCCATTCTGTTGGTGGAAGGGTAAGGTATAATGTTGATTGAATGATAGAATAACACAGTACATGTTATTACTGTTCAGCACTAACTCCACGGCAATAAATAATTATCTGTGAAGAGGAGAGTATCTATCTCAAATACATTTTCATGTATGGAGAATGATAACTTTTTATCAGTTTAAAAACTAAAATCAGCTTATTTTATTAGGATTTGAGGAGTTAATATGACTTTGTGTATTCAGTTGAGTTCTTATTTTTTACCCATCTTTTCACATTTTTTCTTCTCCATTACTGTAAAAGATTTAATTCACTTTAGCATTTATATACCAGCATATACAATATGTATTTCTACTTATTTTTTGGGGTCAGGTAAGGCATAATGGTGATCTGAGAGCTTAAAGGCTCATTTACACATCCAGTTGTTGCAAAAATGTTCACCACAGTTGAGAATCATGAGTGTGTTATAAGAGTGATGGTCAAATATCACCATTTCAGATCTCTAGTCAACCTGACCTCTCGAGGCTCATACACACACAAGATTTGCTTCCCCCCTCCGATTCCGAATATGCACTGCAAAATGCTCCACATGCAAGGCAAACACAAGTAGTTTGCTTTGAACTTTGTACCATAATGAACTAAACAGCATACAGTTTCCACACAGCTGTCTACCATCAACTTCTAACAGTTTTCATCAATGACAATAAATTGCATGAAAATAAAGCCACATGAAAGTACCACATGATTAACCCATTTGCCTCGGGTAGGTCAAAGTGTGCATGTTACAACTTTTCACAGAGTTCAAAATTTAATTAAAACTACTTTATTATCAATGTATATGAATAAACTCAGAATCAGAACATGGATAATAAATCAGAGTTTAGTATTATTTAAGTTTTAAGTTCATAATTTTATAAGGAAACATTTAAAAAATTATCAGTCTCCCCAAGTACGAGAACTGTGACGTTTGTTAATTATGTCTTCCCTCTTCTCTAATTCTTTTACCACCCCTCTGAGAAGTACGAAATTTAACTTATGTTACTCATTATAATGTTGCCATTGTTCAGGCAAAGCATAATTTACATAGTTTTCAATCTTATTTAGTTACAAAGCAATAAACTAGAAAATCAAACCCCTCTTGCCATGCCAACCTGACACTTCCTCTCTTTCAAAACTTGCCAATAGTTCTCACTGAATTTAGGACTATATTATTTATAACCAATAGAAAAGCAAAGATTTTCTCTATCAAATGATATATTATATTACATTGTTTTCAGTAAAGAGAATTGTCTGTTTACCTTCCAATTCAGACTTTATTCCCACAGGAAACACATCAATGAACGTAGCTTAATTTTTAATAGCATTTGTCGTACAGTTAGAAAACCAGAAAAACTGTTATAGATATGGAACATTGTTTCCTTTTTGCATGTTATTATTTTGTGTTCTTTGATGCATTACTTAATTAAATAAAAATGATTTAATGCAGTAGTACCATTAGTATAAAAAAGTAGGGTTAACTTTCATCAACAGTTAACAGCAAAATAAAAAGAACATCAGGTACATACTTTAGTTTTTGTTTTCAGATGTATTCTTTATTTATTACTATAAAAGTAACTAAAATGTAAAAATTGAAAACTTTTTAAGTTAGATAAAGTGAAAGGAATAATAATATTAACAATAATTTTTTATGAGGTACGCTCACAAGTAGTCTGTACATTATGTAATTCGATACTGCAATGTAAACTGCACATTCACCACGTGATTTGCAATTTATATGCCATGAATATTAGATCAAAGGGCAATAAAACAATAAAATTTAAATCTAAATAAATAAATACTGTTAAAAACTTTAAGCCACTTAGGTTAAACAATTGTGGTTTTCTGTTATAACTTGCAGTCATTCCAAAAAGAAAATATGGGAAGTTTAGAATTATTAACTCACTTTTATGGTAGTTATGAGGTCAGTCAAATCAATTGACCTCATATAGAGTTAAATATTATCTCCAAAAAGCAACACAAAATCTTGTATGTTATATAACATTGTTTTCATATTCCTTGAGTGATGCACATATTTTAAAGACAAATGACATCAAATAATAATAAGTAGTTTTAATTTTAAAATCTTCAAGGTTTCTTTATTTTCTGTTTGGAAATAATTTGTAAGATATCAAAGTTAGTAGTTGGTACACAAGCAGATTCTTACAATAACTTGATTATAAACAGCATGTCAATTGGACCAAAACAAATCATAAATGAAAACAATAAATCAAGTTGTAACTTTCAAGTAATTATATCTTAAAATACAGAAGATATTTTCATGTTTATTGGAAAAGCTGCTCATTTTATCCTCTTGCATATTGTCCTACTTTAGCACTTGCTGAGGGTAAGTAACATGTAGGGTATATTATAAATAACAGTTTTTCGTTGAGCATGAAAGTGCATTTGACTTCTTTAGCACTGATAAAAAGTCATAAAGGGAAACAACATGCAGTGTAAATTGTAAATAAAGTTTTTCATTGTACATCAACATGCTCTTTTCCACTTGCAGAAGGTAAGCATGTAGTGTACATTGTAAATAACATTTTTCATTGACACTGAAGTGCTTCTTTTCTTTTTTTGAGTTTATTAAATTCTACCTATGGGACCCTTGAAAATTTCACTGGAACTCTTGAAAAAAAAAGCTGCGAGTCCGAGACCCTTCACTGTGGGATCCGAGTGAGAACTCTACTATTCCATTAAATTAGGCCAAGAGTTGATGGTGGATGCTGTTGGCTAGCTTTCTTCCCTCTAGTCTGTCAGTTCTAAATTACGGATGGCTAGCACAGATAGTCTCTTTGTAGCTTTGCAAGAATTTTTGAAACAAACATATAAACCTATTATTATTATTATTGTAAGTGGCTTTGAATTTCCTTGGTTTATCCACTTAATATGCAGTTACTTTATACATACTTTTCAATATTAGACATTCAAAATAAGTGAGACTTTTTTTTCTTGCAGTTGAGACCAGTTAACAACAAGTAATTATAGTCTATCATGTACACATGCTACAGTTTAAACAAAAACCACAGAAAAGGGATGTCTCTCATGAAATATGGGAGTTGGCATGTGTGGTTTTACAACATTCTGTCATCTGATACTCATCATATGGCTTAATATAAAATGGTTACATAATCAGTTTTACGAATAGCATAGAAAAATTGCTTTATCTTTCTGATATAAACATATTTAGAAAAAAGGGATTCTTTTTGAAGATATACAAATATTAAGCCTAATTCCAATTCACATCATTTTTTTTTATGCCCTTAATGTGAAGCATCACAGGGTGAGGGCAAGTTGGTTTGCACCTGTCCTGATCTTGTGAACAGAATATTTTAAGATAGGATAGATGGAAATTTGGCCAAACTTATACAAAAGGTACTATATACCTGATTAATTTTTGATTGTCATGGATCAAGGTCAAAATATCACTGTTATATAGAAAATCTGACCCAATCTTGAGAACAAGTACTATATTAAATTAAGGAGACTTAGACCTGATTAACTTTTGAAGGTTGTGGGTCAAATATCAGTTCAAAGGTCACTGGTGTATTTAAAATCTGCCCTAAACCTTGTGGACAGATATTACATCATCAAATTCAGGGTGACTTAATCGTACAGCATAAATTTATTAGGGAACATAGATGTTTCATAAATGCAATTTGCACTTGTTTTGCATTACTTTCATTCTTTTTGCAATTGTATAACGTGTGTTTCAAGATGTTAGACAATTTTACACTATCAAAGTTAACTTTTAATGATGGTATTTAACAGTTTTTGATTACTTTAAGCATAGTTTCATACATCATTCTGAGAACAAATTTTATGTTCAGTCCCATTGTCTTATGATACATGTATTTTATTTTCTAATAATATTTTATTCATGACAAAAAAATATATAAAGACGTTATAAATTTTTTAATAGGAATTGGTGAAGAATCAACCACAAGATACCCCAGGAAGCTTTCTGGTAAATCAAGGTGATTAAAAATAAGGATATATTACTTAGAACTTGTTTATTTGTACATTTTCTATTTGTGCACTTCCTTATAGAGAATTCAGTACACTATATTAAAATGATTTTGAATATTCAAATCATTACAACCAATATAAAGTTGCAGTGTAATGACGTATCAGAACTACATTTTGACATTATTTGGCATTTTGTAGTTAGTATGATGCTATCTAAAATTAATCACCTTGGGGAAGGATATGTAGTCTTTTCCATTGTAAACTATTCAATCACCCAGATCATAATGATGTATTCAGATCAGAGATTTATAATTTACAAGATAGGAATATTCCTGATACTTGTAGACATTTAAAAGCAAAGAAATATACAGATAAAATTGGGCACTATTACCATTCAGAAAAAGACTTTTAACAAGCCATATCACAACTATAGTAAGCAAAATGTAGTATTTTGTAGAAGGTGATAATCCACAAACACAAAGATCAGTGGTATAAGCCATCCACTTATTCCAGGCAACAGTATGCAAGGCTGTCTGCTTGGAAAAGCAACACAAATCACATGTACACAAGTTGCTCCCATGACATTTATTAAACCATTGCATACCTGAAGCATCTGGAGAGTAAAATGTGTGTTCTTGCTATTCCACACTGGTGAAGTCTCTGGATGCAGTTCTGATGGATTTCTGTATAATAGGACTGTTGAAGTGGGTGCTAAGAAACTGTTGTGCTCATACACTAGATGGATAATAAAAAGCATGATGCAAGGAAGAGGGATGTGTTTTAGGCTTGACAGCTTTATCTGGAACTTTTCCTATGGAACTATGCTTCAGGGCTGTTGTCAGGATTCACAGATAGTGCATTACCAAATGTGAATACATAATTGAGTCTCCAAAATAATTTTGATATAACATACACAACCTCTGTATAAGTATTCAGCTTTATTATTTTACAACAATCCAAAAGATTTTCTTCCATTACACAAGATTTATTAACATAGAAATGCCTGATTCTGTAATATTTAAATATAGTTGAAATTTTCTTAAGTGTGTCTTTTTGGAGATGCTTTGAATCTTGAGTTTGGTATGGTATACTTCATTTGAAATTAATGGATAAAATAATTTTAAGGTATTGTAAAATACCTTGGTGTATATGGATACAGAGAGTAGCTAAGTCTAATCTTATAACTTCATCAACTTGGGAGAATCTAAGAAAAAAATCGGTTAGATACGTACTAAATTATTGCTTTTAAACTGTTGGTAAAAATTTAATTTCCGTCTGATAAATGAAGTGTTTATTTGGGTTAATAAAACCACTAAGACAAGTGAGGCATATCTGGAATGACCTTTTGCTTTACTCTCCTTCCCAGAACAGGGCATGTCATTAGATTTATTACAAGAATTGGTTTTTTTTGCATTGGATATAGCTTCCAAGATTAAATGATTTTACAGGCGGCTATATCTTGCAAAAGTTTTCACATTTAATTATTAATGAAGGAAATGCCAGAAAGAACTGGTTGCTATGTTCTAGCATTTTACATGAAAAGATTTAAAAGCTTTGAAAAATCCAGAGATCTGTAGTTTAAAAAGTGTCTTTACAGAAGATTAAAGGAAGATGGTTAAAAAGTATTCACTGCTGTGATTGATTTAAGTGTTTTGTGTAATTTAGAGCTAAGATTCTTGCTGAAAATTATTTTGTGATCTTTTATTATGATTTAATGACAAAATTTATGGTAATTTAAATTAAATGAAAAGGTTGTCTAGTCATATAACAGTATCAGTGCATACTTATAGTTTGTAATTAGACTGTTAAGAATAAATTAATAACTGTTGTTGATAATGTCATTATTGAAAGCATAGCACAACATCAGCTGGATCTAACTTGAGTTAAGAAAATCCAATTCCAATACGGTACTTCCCTCCGTAGTTCCCTTTGAAGTTAGTGTCACTACTTTGGGTGTCACACAGTCGACAGGCGCTATACCACAGACTTCAGGTGCTGGTGACCTGACGGGAGATTTGTCTACGTTTAATCGCAGGGTGATTGAAAGTTATTTGGGTCAGTCTTTATCTTCAGACATTGTCCCTCTTTCTCCTGAACCTGTGAAACCTGTCTGAGGCTCTTCACAGAAATCCTGAGGGGTTTCCTGGGGACACCCCTCCCTCCTTGCTTGCTCATTGGCTCGTTTATCATCTTTGGCTCTGGTTTTACATACATGGTATCTTTGTTGTTGGGACCTTCTAGGTCGTGAGTCTGTTTTATCTCGTCCCCGTTTACATGCTCCTTATCTCCAGGATTTGTATGTGGCTCCATTTTTAAGACATTTCGTCTTTGATACTGTCCCAGAATCCTTGGAGTCTCAGGTGGCATTTGCCCAGCAATACTCTACTATTTCCCATCTAGTTTCCCGTTTATTTCAGTCAGAGCCATGTGTGGTGCCTATTTCAGTTTCCTGTCCATCTCCTTCCCATCTCTCACCTGTCCCTCCTTCCCATGGTGCCACGGCTCGCTGTTTTTCATGATGATGTACAATATGCCACCAACAGTTCTAGTGACTACCTGGTGGGTTTAGGCAAAGTGGGAGCTTGCCTTGTGGCCTTCGTTCATCAGTGGTGCCCTTTCATCTCAGATGTTTGGGTTCTTCAGGTTTTGTCAGAGGGATTCGAATTTCCGTTTCTTGCCTCGCCTTCCTTGTCCCAGATATCCGTTTCATTCCCTTCTCCTCGGGATCCAGTAACTTGACAGTGTCTATCAGAGTCAGTACGGGACCTCCTCACCCAACAGGCTATAGATCCTGTTCCACGTCATTCACCAGGGTTTTCCTCCTGTCTGTTTGTTGTTCTCAAAAGAACAGTGACTGGAGGCCTGTCATCAATTTGTCCTACCTCAATCGCTTTATTCACCTCCCACATTTCACGATGGAGGCCTACCTCAATCTTTGGTGGGCTTTATCTCCAGGTCTATGGATGACCAAGATGGACGTTTACAATCCCTATCTGCATATTTCCATCTTGAAATGGTTTCGTCCTTATCTTCGGTTCGTCCATCAAGGAGTGGTATACCAATTTTGCACCCTACCTTTCAGGCTGGCTTTGGCTCCATACATTTTCTATCGGGTGGTATGAGCTTTTGCTCTTCATCTTCCTGCTCTGGGGTTGCATTTCCACATTTACATGGATGTCTGGCTACTTCTGGCCCATTCTGAACAGGAGTTGGTCTGTCATACTCATCATCTCCTTCATAAAGCTGCTATGGTAGGCTGGTTGGAATTGTCAGTTTGCCATGCCCTGTGTGCTCCCTCACTTTCTGCACGTCATGTTCTGTCAATTTGGGGATGTTGTCTTCTATAACACCACTAATCCCCCCTCGGCTGTGCACACATATGCTCCCTTGAGTGGACTCTGCATGATCAATGGAACCTTTTTCCGGATTCCTTGGATGCTTCTATCATCCTTCCTCATTCCCTTGTAGATGATCTCCTTTGGTGGTTGGATAAGACACACATTGGCGGGGGTCCCTTTCCTCCTCCTCCGGACTTACATTTGTTCACGGATGCATCCCTTCAGGGTTGGGGTGCATGGGTTGATCACCAGGAGGCTTCAGGTCGTTGGTCTATAGACAAAAAATTTTTACATATCAACGTCATAGAGCTCCTAGCCATTCGTCAGGCTTTGGTTCACTTTCTTTCCATTGCCAAACATTGTCTGGTAATGATCCATTCTGACAATTCCATGGTGGTGGCTTATATCAATCACCAAGGTGCAGTCAAATTCCCTCTGTTTTCACATATTGGATCTCCTATATTGGTCCCATGCACAACACATTCGTTTAAGTGCATGTCATGTCCTGGGTGCTTTAAACCTGCCCCAACAAGGTTTACCCGACGGAGTGGCCCCTTCATCCCCTCGTTTTCCTGTGGCTTTGCAGTCTGTGAGGTGTTCCTCACATCGATGCTTTTGCCACTGCTCTCAAATTCATATATGTTTATCCTCCTAACAGATTGCTTCATTGGGTATTTCCCTGATCCATTCCACTCTTTGTCGGATCCTTCTGATTGCTCCATACTGGCCAGCTCAACCATGGTGTCTTTGTTTACTCCAACTTGAATTATTCCATCCAATACCACTTCCCTTATTACCCTACTTCTATTGTCAACCCCAGTCACAGGTTCTACATCCCACATTTCATGTGCTCTGTCTTCATGCCTGGCTTTTGTCTGGTCCTTAGCAAGGAGATCTGGTTTCTCCCTTTGTGTAGGTTCTCATTTGGCCCAGTTCATCCATCCTTCCTCCATGGAAGTGTATCAGCGAAAGTGGAAGGTCTTTCACACATGGGCCCAGGCTCGGGGTTTTTCGGCTGCTCGCCCAACTGTTGCTGGTGTCTCCAAGTTTCTCATCTGGCTTTTCGACCAGAGGTCTTCCGGGCTTCTCGACTTCAGGTTATCAGGCAGCTTTATCCCATACCTTTCACCTTTCCTGTTACCAAAGGATTTTTCTCTCACCCATCTTTACCATATTAATCCATTCCTATTGGATTCGTCGACCTCCTTGGTGACCTGCTCTTCCGGATTAGGATATTAATGTGGTCCTCCATTCTCTTACCTTACCTCCATTCAAACCTATATCTTCGTGTTCTTTGTTACACCTGTCCCTTAAGGTGTATTTCTTTCTCCTTCTGGCCTATCAATGTCAACAGTCTGACTTGTTCACCATCGACATTACATGCACACTTTATATTCTTTTATCCAGATCATTCCTTCCTCCCCAAAACACCTCGGCAGCTTGTGAGGGTAAGTTCTCCTTTTCACCTGTTTCCCTACCCTCTATTTCTCGTCTCTACCCCCTGTCTCAATCCGGATAGACTGCTATGTCCTGTGCGTGCCCTTCATTGTTATATTGCTTGCATGGTTTCCTTCCATGGTTCCTGTTCCTGTCTCTTTACCTCTTGGCAACCCTCTTCATCCATGATCTATCTCTCTCCTCTTACACTCACCAATTGGTCTCTTTTTTTGATCCAGTTGGCTTATTCTTCCTTGTCCCCTTCCCAGTGTACTTTGTTCTGTGTTTCCTCTTGTCAAGTCCAACACCTTGCCTTTTCCCTCACCTCTCTCTTCATCGACCTTTGGAGGAAATCCTACAATTGGGCATATGGACTAACCCTAACATGTTCATCTCCCATTATTTACATCATATCGTGGTTTTGGCTTTTTGCCTACCACCTGTCATTATACACTACTCTTCAGTGCAACTTTTACACTGGGTAAGTCTATTAATCATTTATTTTCTTTTAGGGGCCCAATCTTCACAACTTTATTATTTGGATCCCACTCTTTGGTGAGTAGTGCTTGCCCATGGATTCTTTAACTCTAAATCTGCACAGTATGCCATGTTGAATAGTGCTTTCTTTCCATGGCTTCACACACTCATCTTTGAGATGGGGTGTTTCACAAGGTCGCTTGTAGGGGAATAACTTCAAGATATTTGCTTCATGAATTGGCCTGTCCTGAACCATACCACTCATGGACTCAGAAGGGGATAGCTGCTCATCCCTGTCATGCCTTGATTGAATAAGTTGGTATGGTCTGCTTTTCAAAATAATCACCCATTGCACTGTCTCGGGTGACGACGTTCCTCAGCGCTCTCCAATGCATTCTCACTCTCCTTTCTTCTAGTGGAGTATGGGAGTCCTTACCACTTACCAAGCCACTGGGATAGTTGACCATGGAGGCACCCTGTTGAATGGGTTCCGCTTAAGATGGCTATAACATTCAGTTCAGTGTAGGGAAGTTGTGTTCTGCCAGTATAGATGATATGATATCCTCTGATTTGTGAATAAATAAACAACAGAGTGAGACATCAAAATGCAGTTCACCCCTTTGATCGAGATCCATCTTCCTACCCTCGCGTGGATGTTGGTACCTTATGGGTTGGTTTCAATTTTTGGGTGAACCAATCAGCATTAGTCCTCGCTCAGGTTTTGGGTTGTCTATCTTCCTCCCTCGATTCCTCCTTCTGTGTTTGGGTCACAGTTGAGATATGTGTGACTCTTCCAGTTCTATCCTTGTTTCTCCCTCGTTCTTTCTTCTTACATGGATGTTATTGCCCATTGTATGGTCCTGACCTGTTTCACAGTTGTGGGAGTTGATTGCATGCAATAAACTTCCTTTCAGTACCGGATGTCACATTCCCAGATCAATAGCTCAGAGCTCATCTTGCATAATACCTAGGAATCGGAGTAGTTCTGGATTCCCCAATTCTTGGGTATGAGGTGAAGCTGGTATGATCCTCATCCTACTGTCATGCAAATTTTGGTACCTTGCAAGGAGGTTTTGGATGTAGTTAACTTGTCAAGTATGGTTTGCTGCACTCTAGATAGTGTACACCATGAGATGCATCTTCGTCTACCCACTTTCTTATTGTGGGATTGAGTTACTATATCTTTCTCCAGTTAGAATCACTTTCCTACCACTTTTTCTCCCACTAGGATGTGGTCCTCTCATTTACTGCCCTGATTTTTACACATTTCTCAACTGGGCAAAGAGTATACCTGGATCAGAAGAGGTTCGGTTCCCCTCTCCAGATCTTCGGATCTGACTCTCTCATCTACAGGGGTATCCTTCAGACGCTTTTGGAGGGTACGTCTGTTCTTCCCTCACACCGGTCCCTCCTCCTAATCAATGTGTGATTCTAGCTAATCTTGTGAGAAGAGGGAAGTACTAAATCAGAAGTTATAATTTTCTTATACTGAAAATGTATTTCTGATAGATACTTCCCTCCTCTCACACTTCCCACTCTTCCTCCCCACTCATTTCCAGTGCTTCTGTCATCTGCCAAACTTTGAAGTGATAATTTGGTAGATGCACATAGAGGGAGTCACATGCATCATGTGAGTGTACTATGATCCTATTGGTGGATAAGTGACACATGATGATTTGCATGAGAGACACGTTAGAACCATTTGTGGCATGTGTAATAAAAAAGTTTGCATATAGAGGGCAACAATCAACAAGAATAGCTAATCTTGTGAGCGGATGGAAGTACCTGTCAGAAATATATTTTCAGTACAGGAAAATTATAAGTTTTTTATATTTGGGATGCAGTAAATAACAAGTTAATGGGTTATTTTAACATTCGTGATTATATATGACTTTATTAGATTTTTTGCCTTTTTGCATTACATGTAGCATTATGAAATGTTATGTGTATGCTTTTAGACAGATTATTCTGAAACATTAGGTTAAACTTTGCATGCTTTGTATTATTGAAGACAGATTTATTTAAAACTATCTAGCTAGTTACATAAATAATGTATGCTTAGTTTGAGCCTGCCCAGTCTTTTATGAAGAATTAATTATTCTAAACGTTTTATTCTTGATTAAGAAGAAAATATTGTAGTAAGGTTTGCTAGATTGTGTTTATTTTCATTTCTTGATGTAGTTGGTAACATGTTGTCATAATTGAAGACAATAAGTTAAAGAATTCTATATACAGAAGGTAATTGGTCACTTAAAAAAGACATTGATCAAGACAGTTATATATTCATTGAAGAATGTGATGTCATGTTACAAAATGTTTTATTTTCAGTTTATTTAATGACTATATAGATGTTTGAAAGTGTGCTCTATTTTGCACATTCTTCACACAAGCCTATATTGAAATTCATAGTTTACTCTCAATGATAGCTATTTCTTAAAAGAAATTGTGTTGATAACTTGCAACTGGGTGTATTTTTTAGTCGAACATCTAGAATCAACAGCACACCAACTGTAAATGGGTCTAGTCTTACCAGTTCTGTTATGAATAGTGCTGATGCTAATCTGGAGGGGGAAAGCTCACCAGCTGAAATCTTGCATCGCATAACAGCAATTGCAAAAGCCCACAGTGAAGAGTTTAGAGTACAAGTAAGATGCTATCATAAAATGCTTAATAATAAGATAATATGAAATAAATGACAATAAGGTAGATATATTTTCAGGTGTCAATACAACATATTATTATTATAAAATTGGATAAAGTGATGGTTTTTTTAATGGTTTTGCTGCATTTTTTCTTTTTTGGAAAAACGCTAATGATATGTACATCACTTATTAAATGCCATCAGTCTAATTGGTTGCCAGATTAAGTTGAAGCAGTGGTTTATAGTTTTTTTTTTAGGCTAATGCAAGTACACTTTATAAACCTGGAACATCAAAATGATTATAGTTAAAAAGAAGCATCAAAGATTAATAATAGAGATAATCAAAGAGCCCAGACAGATTCAAGTTTGTATACGTGTTTACAGAAACTTAGTGTATAGAGTGAGACTGCTCATTTTTTCTTTATCTATTATTAGTTTGTACTCTAAAAAATTGTGATTATCTATAAGTGTTGATATCAAGATTTTTATTTGAAGTTTCTGAGTGAAACCAGTGTTTTGGTGATAAAAAATACATTTATTCTTCTCCGTACATTTTAAAATTATAGAAACAACGGACTTTATAGGATTGTTTGAAAATGTCTAAACCACAAATGTATGTTATTGGCTGTCAAAAAGTTATTAAGTGTTTATAAGTGCTTAGAATTGTTTTTTTGTAATTTATAAATTGCAAAACATATATGTTATTTGAAGATGTATATCATAAACTATATTTCGGATGTATACATATATATGTGATGATTATACATGGCCTTAGTCCAGTAATTTCTAGAATCTGATACTAGGCAACAATCTTGACACTTGAAAAAGTTTTTGCCACTTTTTCTCCATAGCATACGTACTCAGTAATTAACTTCAGTATTAGCTGCTCATTAATTTTGTAAACATAATTCATGTATGTTTCTAACTGATGAAATTGATGTCTGTACAAATTATTTTTAATATTATCTTTTATATAACAAAAGGACACCAAGATCAGTCCACCTACATGTAATACTTCTGATCTTTTTGTGGATGGTGTTCGTATGGATCCAAATCTAACTAGGAAAGGACAAGTTGAGGTAATTTTGACATTTTTTGCAAAAATAGCATATCTCAACATTTGGTCTTATTTAACTGTTTTATTAAACAAAAGATGTGCTTATTTTTATTTTGAGGACATTGTAAGTTTTGATACATAAATACTATAAAATGTGATTGTGTTCCATTAGTTTGAAGCATGAGTTACTGACATGCATATTTGTGATTAATTCAAAATTTCCTTTATCAACCTTTTTTATATTAAATATAAATGCTATAGATTACTATTTTGTCAAACAAGTGGAAATTGAACTAGGTTTGCTTTGATGGATCATTTTAATTTTCAACTTAATTAATAAGTTTGTACTATTAACTTCTGATATGATACCTTACCTCTTCTAACATAATAGTTTTTCTTGTTAAGTGCTGCCCTCTCTATTCAAAAAAGATTTTGCTCACTACTAGCCTTGATACTCCCATCTACCTCATGTTTTTAATGTGTTACAGCTGTGCTGTAGTATGCAACAACACTCCAACAATAGGAGTACAACACACCATCCTGGCACAGCTGGCTCCCTCTATAATGTATAATTCAATCTTCACTTCACAATTTGACACAGTAGTGTGAAGACATGTACAAATTTTGATTTTCCAAATTTTTTTTTTTCTCTTAAACTTTGTTATTTCTTCCTCGTTTTTTTTCTACAGTTAAACTTGAGTTACTGTAGGTTGTTACTTGTGGTATCCACTCTCATTTGAGTTATGAATTCCAAGTTTCAAATCACAGCTACTACTACAGTAGTTAACATTACTGCTGCACCTCAATCTGCAGTTTCTCAAGCTTTAGGCTCTACACTTTCAGCTGATGAGTCCTCAGTTTTAGTATGTCATGAATTGGAGTCCATTATGCAGCCTTTAGTGTCTTCTGATCCCAAACTAGTTATTCCCTTTCCTTGTGAACCTGGACAAAAAGATGATGATTTGGATAGCCTTTTTTCACCTCCTTTCTTTGCCATGCAATCCTGTAATACCCCTGTTGATGCCCTCAGACCATCTTCAGCCTTTCTGGATATGGTGTCACGGGTATGTTACTTGTCTGTATCTCCTGTGTCGTATGCTTCCTTTCCTTCACTTTTACATTCCACCCCTTCCTTTGACTACCTGGTTTTCCCTCACTATCCAGATATTGGGGTCCATGCTGAACAGTTTGTGCCACCGCTATGTTCTGGGGTCAGCATACCTCGTCCCCCACATGCTTCAGATAATTACACTTTGGCGTACCATCATTTGGACTTTCTGTTTCTCGACTCTCAAACTTCAGTCTTTAAGCTAGGTGTGGGGTTCTGACCCTGATACCTCTGTGTGGTTTGCCTAAGCCCCATTTCCTGCCTTTGTCCATCCATATTATGTATGAGGCTATCCCCTGCTCCCCAAGGGGTTGTTGGAGGATACTTGTTTCCTTATGTATTCCACATTGGCACGCTTGTCTTACCCAGCACTTCCCTTCAAAGATAGCTCCTCTTTTGTTTGGATCTCTTTGATATGAATGGACTTTAACTAATGTGCACCTACTCACGACAGTGGACAGTGTTAGGAGATCTTCCCGACTCTTTTGAGTCTAGGGTGGAGGCTGCTCGTCAACACTCTTCCCTATGTTCATCGTTTCTTGCCTATTGCAGCCTTTGCCAGTTCCTCTTTCCTGGGTTTTGGTAGCTAGTTACCAGATTACTCATTGCTAGGCCCTCTGCTGCTAATGGTGCATTGACTATCCCTTAGGTTCTGGCAAGGAAGGAGCACAGATGGACAAGTTTGTTCATCTATGAAACGATTTAACCTTTGATCCTTGGGTGCTTCAGGTGTTGTCAGAAAGTCTTTCCCTTTAATTTCTCAACTACCCTCCCGTATACCTAAATCCCATCCCTTTCCCCTCTTTGGGATCCTATTTCTTGCTAGCATCTCTTTGAAGTGGTTCCGAGCCTTCTTTTCAAGGAGGCTATAGAATTTGTCAGTCATCCTTCTTAAAGATTGTATTCCAGGTTGTTTGTTATTCCCAAGAAGACTGGAGACTGGTGTCCTGTTATAGATCTTTTTCTACTCAACCATTTTCTTGATTTTCCTCATTTCACCGTGGAGTTCTTCCTCAACCTTCATTGGGTATTTGCTCTGGTTCTTTGGATGATGAAAGTGGATGTCACCGTTGCATACCTTCACATCCCTATTTTCCAGACATTCAGATGTAACCTTTGTTTTGTGCACAGGGGTTGAGTTTATCAATTCCTTGCTTTGCCTTTTGGTCTGACATTCACACCTTACATATTCTGTCTGCAGTTCTACTATTATATGGACGATTGGCTGCTATTTGCTCCATTCTGTCACACATCTCACTAGCACACACAGTTGCTTCTTTAAGAGGTGGCTCAGGTGAGTTGATTTGTGAAGTTGGAGAAATCCTTTCTTCATCCAACCCAAACCTTACTCACTTAGGAGTGTTTTTCAACTACTGCCTCAGTCAGGCTCAGCCTTCTTCATTTTGTTTGCAGGTGATGGAACTATTAGTTCTCAAAGGTCAATCTTCTCTTTCTCTTACTTCACGTGAGGTTCTTTCTCTTTTGGGGACTTTGCCCTCATTCCCTCAGGTCATACTCACATGTTAACCCTTTAGTGGGTATTGCATGATCAGTGGAATCTTACTTGGGATATCTTGGACTCTATTCTTCTTCTACCTATCTCCCTGAACATTGATTTCACCTGGTTGCTCAACAGAGATAACAAGACAACCAGAGTTCCTCATCTGCCTCCCCATCCGTAGTTGCATCTTTTTACAGACACTTCTCTGACAGGTTGGGGAATGTATCTGGATACACAGGAAATCTTGGGTCATTGGTCTTCAATTGAGGTGGCTATGCACATCAATATGCCTAAGCTCTTGCCATTCATTGGGCTCTGGATCATTTCCTGCCTTTAATATGAGACAACGCTGTCATGATCCACTGTTGACTCATATATCAATTAACAAAGGGACACCTGTCCACATTTGTTTTGTTTCTGGACATTAGAACTCCTCTTCTGGGCCCATTCATATTGCACATACCTACTGTCATGTTATGTTCTGAGTGCTCTAAATCTTGTTGCAGATCAATTGTCTCATCCCGACAAGGTTCTAGCCATGTAGTTGGCCACTGATCCTCTGGTGTTTTGATAGCTGTGTGTTCAGTGGGGTATTCGTCTTTTGAATGCAATTGCCACTCATCTCTATGCTACATTACCCCTTTTTTGGTCCCCAGTCCCACATCCTTTGGATTTGGCAATGGATGCCTTCAGTCAGAATTGGCCCCACCTTTACCTGTATACCTATCCACCTATTTGTGTCTTTTCTTAGGTTTCATCCATTATCCAGTCCCCTCCATGTTGGTTCCTTCTTGTTGCACCTTTTTGGCTTGCTCAGCCTTGGTTTTGAGTTCTTACCTTCCTTCACTCAGTACCTCCATTACCACTTCTGCTATCCCCCTCCCTCCTTTGACTACCTCAGTTGCCAGTGTATCATCCCAACATCCCCACACTTGGCTTTCATGCAGAGCATTTGTCTGGTTCCTTGCGAGGTGGTTTGGGGGTTTGGGTTCTCCAAATGGGTAGTTCCCATTCTGTTTGTCCTTCCTCATTATTGGTGTTTCAGAGAAAATGGCGTGTTTTTGCTGTGGACTCTGAACCATGCTACCTCTCTTTCCATCCTACTATTCCTTATTTATCTGAATATTTTACCAGGCTGTTTGACAATATTTTTTCTATTTCTTCCATTCCTGTCGAATTATTTCCTCTCTAGTCCTCTCCCTTTTGTCACCTTTGTCCTCCTCATCCTACACCCTTTCCTGATTGGGACCTCACTGTGGTTCTCCATGCCCTTACCCTACCTCCTTTCAAACTATTGGCCACCTGTTTCCTCTACCATTTGTCCCTCAAAACCTATTTTTTGCTCCTTTTTTACCTGTGGTCATCATCAGTTGGATGTTTTCACCTTTGAAATATCATGTTTCCTTTATCACCATACTTATATTCTCCCAAATCCAGATCACAGTTTTTACTCAAAACAGTGGCTCGTAAAGTTGATGTCACATTCACCCCATTTCCATACCTTTCATTTTCCATTTATATTCCCATGCCAATCCAGATCGTCTCCTCTCTCCTGTTCATGCACTACCATATTATATTGCCTGCATGGCTTTTTCCAAGGTTCCTGTTCCCATTTGTATAACCATTGGAACCCTTCCTCTCTCCATGATATTTCCCCTACCACCCTTACAGGATGGATTCACTATCTTATCAAATTGGCTTATTCTTCCTTATTTTCCAATTCTCAATGTCTTTTCCAAGTGTCCTCTCATCAGATCTGGCACCTCTCAGTTTCTTGTTTCCTTCATCTATTGGAGTAAATAATATTAGCTGGCATGTGTATCACACACATAATATATTCATCTCTCATTACTTTCATTATGTAGCTTTTCTTCCTCATCTGGATACCAAATACTGCCTGAGTGGGTAAGTTTATATTTCTTTATTTCCCTTTCAGGGTCACTAATGTACATGTTGGATCCTGCTCTGTGATGAGTGGTACCTGTCCATGTATACTAATCCATAAATCCACACTCTACAGCTGTTCTGGCCTATAACACCCCCTGTTGAGATGGAGTGTTCCACAAGACAACTAGTAGGTTCATCGTTGTGGTATTTTGCATCATAACTATTTCCTGTTGGGATAGCTGCCAATCCTGTTTGAAAAAATTAGGACTGGCCTGCTTTTAAAGATAGGATTTCATGATCACTCATTGCACTTTCTCCAGTGTTGCATTCCTCTGGTCTCCCCACTGCATTGTCCTTGCTACTTGTCAGCTTCTAGCTAATGGAGTGGTGGACCATGGAGGCATCCTTCTACGTGCTAAATCCCATGGGGCAGTTGTGTTCTGTCAGTGTAGATGGTGTGAACTCTCTTCCTACCTTGGATTGGATATACAATACCTGACACCACTTGGTTATGGACTTGAGATGATCCTCCAAAATACAGTTCACCCCTCTGGCTGGGACCCCTTATCCTACCACCACCCTGATGTTGATTCCTGGATGGTCTGGTGTTGGATTAGAGTTGGACTAACCAACATAAGTTCTTGCACATGTAGCTGGTAGGGAGCCCTCATCCTACTGCAGACTGGACAATAAACTCCCAATGCTGCCTAGTTTTGGATATGAGTAAGCCAACACATTACATTCCTCCTTCCTGCTGTCACTTGGATGTTGATTTCAGGGTGGCTTGGTTGTGTACTGAGTTTGCACACATGCACCCTGCTTTAGTGATTGGAATGGGAATTATTTTTCCCTCCTGCTTCCTCAGTTTGAGGTTAAAATTGTTGGGACCTCCTTTTATCGTGGACGTGAAGACATATACCTGATGCTTCCTGGTTTTGGACTGGAATTGACTCATTGATTGCAGTCTGATGAACCCTAGTCACTCTACACCATTTGGTGTATCCATTTGCTTGTGAATGTGCTCCTTTTCCACCTGATTTAGTGACATATATTTTCACAATGGTTCAGGTGTGGTGTGGTCTCTCATGGGTATGTTCCTCTACAGAAAGATGTCATCCTCCATGCGCTCTTATTGTACACTTTCCAAAGGGTGCTCATCTTGGTAAATTTTGCATCGGTCCCTCCACCAGATCAGTGTGGGATTCTGTCAATTATGTGAGTGGAGGTAATGTATTGTATTGATAGCTATAATTTTCATAAAATTTAAACGTATTTGCAGTAGATACTTTCTTCCCCTCACACTTTCTCCTCACTTCCAGTACTTTTTTTTTGCCTGATCTCAAAGTGAAGAATGAATTCTATAGTATAGAGGGAGCCAGCTGCACCAGGAACGTGTGTTGCACTTCTTTTGGTGACGGTTGTCACACGTTTATTTGCATGCTACAGCATAGCTGTATCATGTTAAACACATGTGGTTGGTGGAAGTATCAAGGCTAGTGGTGACCAAAAAATCTGGTGGATATAGAAGGCACCACTGAACAAGTTAAGTATCTATTGGAAATACATTTTCAGTTTAGTAAATTTATAACTTCAGTATATTGACTAGGTGAATAATATGTAATTTCTTTTACAGGAGACATAAGAATTTCCTAAGTATGTTCTTGTAAAAAACTCAGATATTTTCTCTATTTTTGGTTTTTAATTTTAAAAGATAATAAAGATAGATTTATTCATAAAATATTCTCATTGTTGTGTTGTTTTAGGAAGTAGCTTGTAAAATTCATAAGAAAATCAATAATATAGTTTTGAATGCATGATTGTTTTGACAGATCTCACCAGAGTTGGCTGTTGATAATAGATTCAAACTTTTGAAGCCTCTAAAACACTTTTCAACACACAATCTTGAATGGCAACAGTTGGCTGAAGTAGTCTCAAAGGTAGTTTAAATTCTATAATAAAAATATTGTAAATTTAAATCAGCTAGAATTGTATAATCTGCTAGAAGTTGGTATTGTCTATTATAATTATTCTTCAAGATATATACATGTGTATATTTATATTTATTTATAGTGCATTTATTTATGCATGTATGTGTGAGAATGTATTGTTGGTTATTTTCAAGTACGTGTTGTCACTCCTTGATTCTATTCTTTATTGAAACTAATAACAGACTTATAAAGATACTTGTTATAATTGTATCAGAACCTCAAAATGATTGTTAAGTATACATCATTGTCGATTTATCAGACTATTTTACAGAAATGCTACTTACTTCTGTGCATCACTAAGAACTATTAGTTTTTTTACAACTGTTGTGGTATATCCTGTGCAACAAATCATGCACAAACTTCCACCCCTGCACGTGCTTATGTGTATTGCACCAGCCTGTGACATAATCATCACAGTGCCTAGCCCTCCACTGATAGGAGAGTAACACAATTTTTATGCACAGTGATCCCTGTGAGTATTAGTACATGATCATAGGCTTATTCTTTCCTTGGCACTGCACCTATGTTCCATCCACGTGACTGGAACTTTGTTTTCTTTAGCTACCATATTTCTTCTTTGTGGTACTTCAGACAATGAAGATATATATATAAACATTCATATTGTTGCTACATCCTGAGGCCCAGACCTTTCTCTTAAGGAATTATTCTCTGAGTCAATGTAAATGGAACTGACATTCATTAGTTTCCCTTCAACTCAACTAGTATAGCAAATGTGTGGCATGCAATAGGTCAAGGATTTTTATCTGTGTTAAGCAACTATAAATATTGTGGATAACTTAAGTTACCATAGCCTTATAGAGCTATGGTGAACCATGGTATAACAATATATTACATTCTGCTGTGTTTCAAACATGATGTTTCCATTATCATGTATCGAGTGGTTGGTTCCCTTTTTCTTACTTCTTCTCCAGTGCTGACATCTTGTCAGTTTGTTTCAATTTCTTCTGTGTAGACTGCCCTGCCTTTGGACAATCTTGGCCAGCTCTTCCATCTCCACCTTTGTATCTGTTTCTTCTCTCCCTGATGAGGAACAGCTACCTCTTTCTTTTATGTTTGCTATGCTTATAAATCAGGTATGTGACATCCTATTTCTTTTACCTGTATATCATAATGACTTATTGGATGCTTTACTTCCTGCTGTCCCAACTCCACATTGATCAAAGATTTCCTTGTCCTCATGACTCCTTTGCTATAGCCTATGGTCATGACCCTTCTATATTTCATGAACTCCAATATCTTGTATTCTTGCTGTCTGGTTGGGGCACTCCTCTTTCTTCTAACATGTCTCTTTTTTTTCCCAACAATCTGCTTATCTTTGTTTATCCTTACCCTGCTCTTTTGCTATATCTCCATCCTTCACCTCCTCACTGTGGCTCGTCATCACAACCTCAATAGTTTTGATGGGAACACTCATTCTTATGTGTTTGCCACTTTGACTCAAAATGTTTTTCTGCTGTCTCTCTCTCTCTCTCTTTCTCTTTTTTAATGTGTTTTCTATGTTCTTGGGATCTCAGTTTCGATGTCCACCTCCTTTTCTTTTATATCTTGTCTTTTTTCTCACTGAATCAGTTTTGAAGGGTGTTCTAAATTTCATAGAATCTCTGGCTGGGGTTGCTCACTAACAATCGTTTGTTGATTCCCTGGTTTCTCAATTCATTAGACTGTGGATACCTCAGTTGGCCACTTGACTTTGAAAGTCATGTGGGGCTAATCTCTCTCCTTTTCCTCCTCCTATCACTTCTAGTTGTCTTTCTCCTCCAACAGGGCAAAACTGTTGTGACACTTGGCGGTATCTCTTCCTTGGAGCCGATTCTTGGCCTTGGAACCACTGGTGCCTGCCATCCTTCCCTTTCACACCTAAAATATCCCTTTTCCTTTAATCCACTGTCTCTTCAACATCTTCCTGGGAATTTTTCTATTCTTGTATGAGACAGGCTCAATCATTGAAAGCTGTTCCCTCCCTTTCCTGCATGAGAGCTCTCTTTCTTTTGTGAACTCTGGCTTCTCTCTACATGTGTCCCCTTCATTGGAATTTAAGGGATGATTATTGCCTGATGACTGCAGTTCACACACACTCTCCAATATTCTCTCACATGGAAATTCTCCCCTCCCCTCCTGATCTTCAAATGGAGCACAGGAAAACCCTTACTTCCCCAATCCCAAGCCACCAGGGAAGTTGATATGGAGAGTTTCCTCTGCAGTGGTGTTTTTCCTCTAGCAAGAGACTGCATGGTCCCACCCCTCATTTGAGATGGCTGGTGTGTTACTTTCTGGCAATATAGTACAGGTCACCCTGCTGCAGAACATGCCTAGCTATTCTCGGTAAATACGTTTTTTCTTGGGATTTAGATGTGGAATACCATTCCCTACACCTGGTGTTATATTGACTATCAAAAAAAAAAAAAAAAATGCAAGTAGTTTCTGGTGAATATGTCTAACCAGATAGGACTTGGATTTGACTAAGACAGAATAGCCTAAAGCCCTAGCCACACTACACATTCAGATGTTCCTCCCAAGTTGGTGACACATACACACCAACACTAGATTCTTTTTCTCCTATCAATGAAAAACAGAAAAAAACAGATATAAGAGAAACTCTTCGGTGAAAAGTATTCTCTGTGAGAGTAAGTTATAGTCTCCCATCTAGTGCTCTCCGCTAGTTGACCCCTGGTCTTGTGAAAGCCACACCCCATGGATTTTCCCTTTCTATCACTGTTTCAGAAAAAAGATCATCTTAATGATTGATCAGCACCAGCCCTTCCACCATTTTCAGTGTAGGATTTTAGCTCATAGTGGTGCAGAAAGGTATGTAATGTTTCTGAAGTTATCATTTTCCTTACCTCAAAATGTATTTCAGATAGATACTTATCTCTCTGCACCACCCCCACTCTTCCTCTCTGCTTCTGGTGCAGTTGGTTTTGCCTTGTCCAAAATGAGCTTATGACTGCTAGTGCTTGTGGGGATCACTGTGCATGAAGATTGTGTCACCTTTCTATTAGTGGAGGGCTACAATATTATGACAATTATGTCATAGGCTAGCACAATACGTGTAGATAAGTTGATGGGTGAGAGTTTGTTCAAAGCTTGTGGTGTCAGCAGATAATTCCACAGCAACTGCATGTGAGGTAATATCTCTTTGTGGTACACAGAGGTAATTATCTATCTGAAATACTTTCTCAGGTAAGGAAAATATTAAATTTTACATTACAAGATTAGTTTTTCACCTTTTTTTGATATTGAGTAAAGTGCATCTCAATACAAAAGCTTTATTTCTTTAGCTTTATAATATTTTCATTTGAATACCTTGTATTAACTTAATGGGTTAAAACATGTTTTGAAATACTAGATATACTTCAAAATGTTTGTTAGGATTGAATATGTTCCATTAGTTTTAATTTTTTTTCACCTTATTTAAAAATTTGATATAATTATTTCCAGAGAAAAATAATAAAAAACAAAATTTATTTAACAAAGACATTAATCACTGAAACAATATATAAAAGAACATAGAATATTGAATTTGCATTACAAATCTGTTGACATGTTTGAAATGTCAATCTATTTTTCTTTTTCTCTGTTCAGGATATCTATCTGGAGAATCCTGATGTACGATGGGATGATATTGTTGGTTTGACTGCAGCAAAACGTTTCATTAAAGAAGCTGTTGTTTATCCAATCAAGGTATTAATGTATTTGTAATTTTACATTGAAGATTTATTTTAAATTTTCATTTATATGCAGGAATTCCACTCTTTAATATTTGGCTTATTGTGAAGAACAGACTTTCTAGTTGTTTTTGATGATCTCTCTAGCCCCTTCCCCTCCTCTTTAAATTTTGAAAATGAATGATATATACAATGTTACAGGAGATTTTGGTATTTCATAATCATGCCTCAGTGAGCTCTGCTTTTTGTATATAGGTCTAGTATATTCAGGCATCTCTGTCATATTTGCTTGAATATAGTAGACAGAGATGAGTCTTGCATTTGATGGTTTTGGTAAATCTGATCATCAACCCATTCTACCATGGCTTTTTACCATCTTCCACTGAAATCTTCTGTTGAATCACTGTTACGTATTAGAATTGCGACTAGTTCAAAGCTGAGTTAACTGATAATTTAAATTTAGTAGTTAAATTGTACTTTGGATTTAATATTTAAGTATATGCCGATATATTAGTCAATTTACAATATTTGCCAACAAGATTGATACACACCGTCCTCCTTTTTAACACAAATACATTTTCAATTGCACACAACAGTATAATTTACAATAACAATTATTACAAATAGTTATTACAAACAAAGATTTATAAACAAAAGTTTCACAAACTTATAGACAATATAAAATCCTCGCTCTAGTTTGGAACTCCCTTGATACCTTATCGAGGGTTTACGATGAGTGAGTTAATTACGAGTTGATGTAAGTACGATTCGCCATTAAGCTAGCTAGCTTTGTCCTTGGTCACACACGCTAGGTTTTCCATCGTTGAAGTTAGGTGACATTTTCGTAAAAATACTAATGTCCAATGAGAATCCACTGAAATTAAATAATTTGTAATGTCTGAACTTTGTAAACGTTTCTGATCCAATATCTGAAGTTTTCCG